AGAGAGAGAGAGAGAGAGAGAGAGAGAGAGAGAGAGAGAGAGAGAGATCCATGAAATCTTTCCTATGTCTTAGTTTTAATTTTCAAGTATGTCAGGGGTTTGGTGGGATGTTTCAGCAGATAAACAGCATAGAAAAGTGATAAATTACCTGACCGTCCATCTCTCTGGAAGTCTACATGATACCATTCTCCATCATTCACTTTCTTCTGCAGGGCTTTTATTTTTATGGTACCTGACCCCATGTCCAGGAGGAGGTAGAGGTGGCCATCCAGCATCTCAATGGCAAAGAAGTCAACCTTTATCATCTGTGGGTGCTTGGCATCTTTTTGATGTCTTGGCTTGCCATGACTGAATAAAATGAGGCCATTTGGCTCTGTTGTACGGAAATCAAAGGATATGGAGCCTGTTTTCTTTGCATTCCATTTAGGCAAAGAGATAAAAGACTCTGGAGTTTCAAAAGTGATTGGGTCCAAAGTTGCGACATTTTCACATTTAAATGCCACCACTCCATGGATCTTCATCTTGGGATCTCCTTGCTTGGCAAGTCGAGATAATTCCAGCCTTACATCATTATTTTTATATACAACCTGTGGGTAAAGAATAGCAGTGAGAAACTAAATTTCATATTTTAATATCTGGAACTTGTTATTAGCTCATGTAATTTGCAAGTAGATCATAAAAAAGCACAAAATGTTAGTTAATTCTGTTGTGTAAATGAGTCTTTTTTCAAATAAATAAAATTCAAGTATCAACTCATTAAATATAAACTTAATTCAGATACTGTATGTGTGGGCGTAGGCACATAGACTGCCTAAAATAGTTAAATAAATGTGCAAATACATTTAAATAAATTTGCAATATTTCAATAAACACTTAAATTTATTAAAGGTAGTTGTTTTACTAGTTGGATATTATACTTTTAAAATTAAATATGTGTATTTAGGTTATTCAGATTTTCCATCACTGAACTATTTGAAGTAGGATTTAAAATATATATATATATATATATATATATATACTTGTCCTCTAAAATATAGGAACCCGTCTAAAGTCTATATATTAATGGTGCATATTTACTTTGTATAAAAATCAAAAAAGTTGAGATGTTAAGTGGCCTGAAATTTCTGAGAAAATCCATAATGTGTAACTAAGATGCAAACATTCTTTGTTGTCCATCCATGCATTGATAGCTGATACTGTTAGGTAACATGGACCATGATATATGGAATGTCATGTTTACTATAAATCTATCCAACACAAGTTCTCCTCCTGTTTTGTTTTACTTTTAATTTCTTTAAATGCCAAGTAAAGGTTTTCTTATATGCTCATTTTCTGAGGCACTTCATCTAAAGTGACTAGATAGTACTGAATGCTTGATGATAGTCCTAGGGTTTTATGAAAATCTAAATAAGACATTGGGTAAATTCACTGGCAGGGCTCATAACATCATGCCTCTGCTATCACATCAGATTTACTAAATTTATAGGTATTTTTACATACAGAAAACGAGAATATCATATCCTTTCTTTACCAAATGAATATAATAGACAATCACATTTCTAAAATACATAGCCCATATTGACTTCAGGATGAATTATTTATGTCAAGATAACTTGAAATTATTTTAAGGTACTGAAAATTTTCACACAGTCAATGTTCCTGTGAATAAATAAATGAATTTATCCAAATTTAAAAATGTATTTATCTAACAGGAAAAATAAAACTGCCTGTATCTGATTGACTAATGCTATGATGTCAACCAAATCAACACAGTGGTGTGTCTTTTGAACCTGTGGTCAATTGAATGAACAAAGAGATGAATTTTTTAGCTCACCCCGGTGAACTTCCTATTATGATTTGTGAGTGGAAGCTTTATTTCTCAGAGTGATTAAGAGGACAGCTCTGGAACTGGGATCCTTGAGTTTAAGTTCTGACTCCAGCATTGCCCAAAAGTATGATCTCTCAAACCTGGGTTTTCCTCCTTAAAGGGAACTAACACTATGCAGGATGATTATAACAATTACATAAGAAAATACATGTAATTGAGAAAATCACTTAAAGGCCATCAATCCAACACATTGTAAGTTTTCTATAAATTTCAACCACATCGAACTACATGATCATGCATATCATTGCTTAATCATAGTCTAATAGAGGTGTCGGTTCTAAAGTTATCTATTTTAGGAAAATGTTTGGAAAATAGGCCTGCATTATATAATTGGTTTTTATACTTGATTTGCATCAAATAAATGGCTCATCTTTCCAGTGCTGAGCCTGTGGTTTCAATTTTTTCTTAATCTTGAAGGATTATTGTAAAGAAGATGATATCTTTTATTCTTTGAATAAATATGTACAATGACTTAACAAGCATCCATTGACAACAGAAGAAAAGAAAATGAACTTAAGCAATAACAAAAAAGGAATTACATTAATTCTTAAGAATACTGTCTTGAAGAGAGAGAAGAGCTATTAAGCCTGGGGAAAGTTGATTTAGGACTGCCTTTCTCTGGAGATCTTTAAAAGTGGAAAAAATACTTTTCATGGATGATTTTTCAAGTTATAACCTCTTACCATGACTTCCATGCTATCCAAGCCTATAATTTTTTTCCATTTTTCCTGGTGGTTTATATTTTAATATTTGCAGAGCCTTTGGACAGAGATATTAATAAAGAATGCATATTTTCTAATCCAAAGGATGCAAATGCTTCTGCTGATCAATGCTAACATGCTATTCATGCAGTTAAACCACCTTTATAGAACTGGGAGTTTCTGACATGATAAAGTAGGTATGTGGCTAGATATATTTTCTCATTAATCTAACATCAGTCACTACAAAGTTGAAGGATGTGGGGTTAGGACAACTGTGAATAGAGTCAGTCAGAGATTTATCATCTTATGAGTGAATTGGGTGTCTTGGTGATGAGATTCAGGTAGATGTAGGGAAAAGTAAGGCTATTACCCTTGGTCATATTAATTAGGATTAGCAATGTAATCCTCCCTCAGCAACTCTCCCCCCCCAAATAAATCTCCACCAGAATCTGTGATTTATGCAGGTAGGAACCTTGGGTGACCAAGATCAGTAGTTGGCACAGAGAAGACAGTAAATATTTGTTAAGAGTTGAATAACATGCTTACTTTACTTTCTAAACCTATTTCTCTGATTACAGGCAAATAATAATAATAAAAATATGACAGGATGCAGTATTGGGAACTAATCTCACAACTTAATTATTAACTCTTATCTCTTTCTCTAGGAGAATGTGAAAATGCCTGGGCATATCCACTTCCCAAATGATAAATTGCCTATACATGGGGTAATCTCATGTTCAAATTCATTTTGTGGGGTCTGAATTACTTTTACAGTGACTAACACCTGGGTTAGACCTCTCCAGAGGTGAAATCATTTTCTGAGAAGAATAATCTTGAGGAGAAGCAAAATGTGTATTTTTTTCCTACCCATTTTTGTATTCATTGAAAGCCTACTCTAGAAAACAGAAGCAATTTTGGATAGATAGGCATATAGTTCTCAATTGACACTACTTCATCTGACCCAGATTTCATAATTACTCTTCTTTTCTAAAGTTAGACTTACTCTTAAAATGACCTGAATCTAGTTCAATTAGAATAATGAGTAGCTGTGAGTCTTCTGAATATTTCTGAAATCCATGTGTAAGCTATTTTTGCTTCCAACATTGTAGTATTCAATCATGAGATTACTTTATACTTATTCATACATTTTTTTTCTTATTCATGTAGAAAGTCACAATTTAAGTTTCACTCTTGAACAAATTTATCTATAGTTTAACGACACAGCCATTGGTAATATTATTGCATGCTCATTTGGATCTGCTTATAGAATCAAGGTTTCTTCTGGGATAATTGATTTTTTTAAAAGCAATTCTAAAATGTTTAATTTCACTTCCATGCTTCAAGGACTTCCATCATAAGTATGAAAGGAATAGAGACATAAAATGTGCTTTCAGTTTTTCAACATTTATTGGTTTTTGTTTTTCAGTTTTTGTTTTCAGCCACCATAAAATTTTCAACATATTGTCATGACGGTTTGTTTCCTTTTCCTCCAACATTTGTTAAGACTTTGAAAATGTCACTTCAACTTTGACAGGCAAGAATGAGAAGAGGAAGTAACTGGTTGGGTTTCTACTCTCCTAGGTTAGACATTTGAGAGAGACACTCACTGACTATCATTCTTAATGTTGCTAATAGCCCTGAAAACAGGACAATATGCAGGACAAACAAGAGAGTTAAAGGATACAAGTGACCAGTTTGACAGTCTATATGTAAACTTGGTTTAATTTGAACACTAATCATCTAAGCCAAATTGCCCAATCCCTGTACTTCTCAGTTTCCTAGTTTCTAAAACTGACATCTAAAAAGGATAGGTGTGTCCAAACAATGAATTCTTGAGCTTATTTTCCCATAAACCATGTGCTATGAGGTAGAGGTAAAAGCCTCTGTTGTTCTTTTTCTTTATCTGACTTTTTCCAGTTTTGGTTTTGGATGGCAGTATATTATTCTCTAATTTGAGATATATTGAAACACTAATCCATAAAGAAAGAGAATGCCCATTGCATCTCCAGGTTCATAGATATGTCTGGAGGATTACATCTCTCTAAGGTTTGTGCAGATGGTATATATATATTATAATATAATAATATTATATATTACATCTTTCTAAGGTTTGTGCACTAGTGGCTGATGGACAAGGCTATTCCCAAAGAGTAGGAGTTCACAAAATAAGTATTTCAGTGAGAAAACATTTGCCACTCAGATTATGATTTTAAAAAATAAAGATATGCAGCAGTCTAGAAATTCCAGTGAGGTTTTTGAATTAATTAACACCCATTGATCCAGGCTTTTCATAGGTTAACTGTGATAGGCCATGGGATGGTGAAATGAGTACTAAATTTAGAGTCAAGGATCCATGCAGATATTCAGACTTATTATGAACCTCCCTGTGATAGCATGAATGGCTCATTTTAATCTGTCTTGGTTTCTCTCTTCTTTACTTGGAAATGATAACAAATAAAGGCTAAGGATCAGTTTCTCAAGTCAGATTTCAGAGAGAATGCTAGCTTATCTATTTGCAAACCTGTGACCTTATACAAGTTTCCTCAACCTTGCCAAGGCTCAGAATTTTACCCGTAAAATAGGATGATAATATTGACCACAGTAGGGTTACTGGAAATAATAAGTTGTATTTCAATTAAAGTGCAAGGATGGAGGACCTGGCACAGAGTAAACAACCCAGCAAATATTAGCTGCTTTTATTAATGTTATTATTGTTACAAAAGATAATGCTATCATTCTTATATTGAATTAAGGGAACTGCATAATCTAATTGTCTTAACAAGGATGACAGTTAACAAGGCTAACAGTTGATTGTTAAAGGAATTATAGTGATGAGATCTGCAGAGCAGTTTGAGGTACACCATGGACATTCTCTGTAAAGTTCCTTTCTCTAGGAACACATGCACATTGTAGGCACATCATACTGGGAGTTTCTTTTCTCTCATGAGCTGGTTTCTGTGCCATATAACAACAATAAAACCTGCCAACAATATTAAAA